TGTGTGTGTGTGTGTGTGAGAGTGTTGTTCAAGGAGACAGTCTCTACTCCAGGAAACAGAGGGATCCTGTTTGTGAGCTGTTCTCATTGTTCAGCTGATTACCGGCCCTTCGCCCTCACTCCACCACACACACACACACTCACATACAAAACACAGGCCTCGTGTTACTACTTGGCCGTCGACCAAAGACGCGCTCACATCAGCACAGCCGTGCTTTGATTTCCTGTCCAAGACTTAACGGTGTCTTCACAATAAAGCCATAGTTCCTAATGAGGGGTGTGTCTGGCCAGACTGACTGCAATGCATTGTCCCTGCAACCTTATTGATGTCTGCGTCTTTTCAGCAGAAGACAACACCTACCACTCCCTTATCTTCTCCTGAACTCCTCATGTGTCCTCCGGTTAAATCCTCCACACCCTCCTTTTTTCTCCTGAATCCATGTTATCTCGGGCTGAATCTGAGTTGTTAAGACGAACACAGTTCTGTAGCCAAAAAGCAGACGTGATGACTCTGACTCACTCGTCTCACATTTGTTCAGTCGATCAGTTCACCACTTTGGTCTAGGCCATCTTTTTTATGGGAGGCAAACATTCGTGGTACCCAAGGGACAAACACACTGACCATGGTGATACTGTGACTTTTCCCTGAGAGAGCAAGTGGCTACGGAGATTGGTTAAACCAATTAGCCACAATTGGCCACAAGCTGAAATTTAATTAAAACATAATTTGTCCAGCTAAGTCCATTTGTCCTTTATTTACCCTGTAGCCTACTGTTGTTTATGACTACACCTAATGGCATCTCTGTCAGGGGTATTTTACAGCCCACGCACTGAAGTATGATATCAAATATGGTAAACACTGTATGCTCAGCAGTTGGCAGTGTCCCTGTGAGCATGTCATCATGGTGACATAACTCAAAGCACCACTGTTCCTACTATAGACTGTAAAGATGGACCACATGATACTAGGCAGTATAAACCCCAACTCCTCCATGTTAGCAGATGGGACATGGATTAAAATAAAACTTCAGAACACATTTTAATAAGTTCTAATTTGATGGTTTACGTGATTTGAGCGATGTTCTTGGATTCTATAAAGAGGGTGAAACATCATGATTGACAGCTGAGACTGACTCACGATTGGTTGAGCACATGTATATAGACGTGTCCTCGCTATCGCAGCTTCGTCCCTCATCAGACTATAGCTCCAAATGACTTCTCTGACCTAAGATGGCAGCAGTCATACCCAGGATATTTTGACTTGATATCACTTCACATTCACATGTAAACGTGCTGTAACAGCTAGTTTTTAGTGTGCCTGTGCAATGTTTTTTTCTTTTTTTTTAACTAAACGTTACAAATGCAATAATAAAACACACCAAACTGAAATTTCCCAATGAAATCATTTATCCGTCTCCCTGGTTTTACTGTTCTCTACCTCTATCTCATGTATGCACGCTGCCTCTCTGCCTCCTCCATATCCTGCTCAAAGTTTTCCCCTTTTCTTTCTTGTTCTCTTTCAACTGTAACTCATTTATCTCCGACTTCCAGTCTTCTCAGCTTAGCTCCTCTCCTGCATAACATTCGATTCCAGCACAATGCTGTGTTGTGTCTGTACTATGCTCTTTCAGGGGCAGGCTCTTTGAGCTCAGGAAGAGTGACCAGTGTAACACACACACACATGGGATGAGAACCTCTGGTGTGGCCTTTCCCACCGCTGCCCTCTCTGTAACAACATACTCACACAAACAAGCTCATTCGCACTGCTGCACCTTCAAACAAGGCTTTTTGTCTCTTGCACAACCAGCCTACTACACACACACACACACACAGCGTTATCTCCACACATCTGCATGTACACTCATTACTGCGTTCAAAACAAAAACCCTTTAACTGCAGCACAAATCTTTGTACTTCAAGGGTCAAGTGCAGCCTTCGTGCTTTCCTGATTTTCTCCTTTTGACCTTCTTCAAAACTTCAAATCAGAAACTAAAAGTCATTAATGGTTATGATAAACATTTATTTCCAGAGCACCTTAAAGATATTTCGTCCCTTTAGACGTGAGTGAATATGCACTGACACTCGTCTGTTTAAATTGTGTGACACGTCCTTATTATTGATAATAATGAGGAAATAAACACAATTGAATTAACCATGAAACCCACAAGAAAAATAAGTATCATTATTTTTTGTAAACAAATCTCATAGTGTTAATCTCGTCCTGCATTTGATTTAATCTCCCGAGGATATATAAAAATAGAATTACCAATAAAACTAGATAATATCTGATCTTGGACTTGAGCCCAACATACACTCCTGTATCAAAAAGACTCAGAAACTAAATATATAGAAAACATTTCTGGACAAATACAACTTACTGACCTGATACCCAGTCTACATGGTGACGCAGACTAACAACTCAGAAAGACATATGGATCTCCAAACCAGGCGGTGGTCAGAAATATGAAACGGTACAGTACATCGTTCGATACTACATGTGTACCATTTAACAGGGAAATTATATTTTGTAGGAAAATAGCAGCCAACAAGTTGCAACACCAAAAGATCTTTGGCTGATTCAAAGTGACAAAGATTCGGTCCAATTCACTGGCATGTGAACAGTTCGTTTTTTTTATAGATCAATAAATGCCATTAGTCACTGATGGCAAACATGACCTAACAGAAGGCACTTGAAAGACGTGAAGTGGAGACACAGGTCACAAGTTTAACAAATAGCTGCAGAAAAAAACCCAAAAGCAAGACATTACGTCCACTTCACATGGAGTCACTTGCGGAATGATTGTTTCTCATTATGTGACCCTAGCCTACTATCAAAAAGACGAGACAAAACACAGACGAGCCTTGCTGCGGCCTAGAAATGTGTTGTCTCATATGTGCATTGACTTATAGGAAGGCGAGCTTTGATTGACAGACGCAAATCTCCAAAACAGATACAATCTGATGAGGCTGGTGAAGATTCCTGGTGTGTTTGGAACCTGGGATGAACACAGACAGGGAGAAAAAGAAAAGACGTAAACAATGGCAGTTTTCATATCGATGAAACAATGATTAAAGCTGCGTTCACATGCGTCTTACCACAATATAGTTATCGTTTAGCTGCAGGCCGTAAAGGACCCAGGAGGTTGAAGTGAAGAAGGTGGCCACAGTCAGGGAGAAGGACAAGCACTGCACGTCACCACTACGCACTATCTTTACCTGAAAGAGAGGCAAGCAGAACAGTGACAGTTAGTTAACAATGAAACTGTATTGAAAAGCTGCATTCGTTTATGTTTCTGTATTTACACTGAATCAAATGACTGCAATGTGAAAATAATCATTTATAGTAACAAGCAAATTGAACTATAACCCAGTTCTGCATTTCTCTGCCACTCTGACTGCTTTATTGTTTTTAAGATTTAGGTTTTCCAGCCCACAATTTTGCGGGTTTTGTCTTAACAATCCTGTTTCAAGATGCTGTAAAAGTCTGTTTTTGACAAAAAAGTGGAGCATTTAGACGACAAAGAGACATTTCTCTTCATGATCTGGTGAAAAACAAAACAGAGCTAAATGAAGATTTCTTCCATTTAGCGATGTTCCCACATCTGGACGTTACAACTGTATTATCAACAGGTATGATGGCTATAAATATTGTCTTAACATGGAATTTCCCTTTTAAAGACAAAAGCACATCTGGAGTGTGCTGAAATGGCCTGTGTGAGGATGTCTTAGGGTTTAGTCATTCAGTGTAGTACCAGCATGATATTATGTAAACTGCAAAGAGACCACTAAATGTAACCAAGGGGATGAGGCACAAACAGACAGAGTGGGAATAACAGGAAGACACAGATGAGCAAAAGAAAGGCAGGAAACTGACTGTGGGTCATTTGGATGTGTGAGGCAGATGGAGGGAAGGAGACAAACAGGATGGTAGACGGAACCAAAAGATATGATACGCAGACAATAAAGGAAAGAGAGAGAACAAGGGATTTATTCCTTCACCGGTAAATAGCTGCACGTGCAGTGTTGACATGAAGAAGAGGGGAAATAATGTTCTGCTTACAGTTGTATATAGAGGGTGCTGTGTGAATATTGTGAAGTTTGACATTCAGTATGTGAAATCACAACATACTCAAGTGTTAAGAGATCACAGCCCTGGACATGATTTACGAGCCGTACAGAATGAGTTCCTTCTAAGAATGTGTGTACATTTACTGGAACTGTATATTTATAAATCATTACAAGTTACTCCTTTAACATGTTACTGAAGAGCATGAACAACGCATTTCAAAGGTCTTAAGATGATGGACTATACAATGTTATGGCTGCACTTTGAAAAGCAGCCACTTGTCATTTGACAGATTTTTCTGGGTGTTATTGAGCATTAACGCAGTCGTGACTAGTTCCCATGAATAACAGCTTCCACTGAGACACGAGCAATGACTCATTACCCTCAATGGTTAGCCTGTGTCAAAAGATTCAATGTGCAACAAAGAACTACTATAATTAACGACATTTAAATATCTCAATCTAATACAAAATAAGATATCAAAATAATTAGGGAACAATTATATTAAAGTCAAACAACCTTATCTTGATGTTACCGTGCCATGAACTCCAATTTGTTAGGGTTGTTACTGACAAGATGTAATGTGAAAAAATTACTCATGATGAAATTATTCAGTTATTTAAAAGTTAAAAATCATAATTTCTTGTTTGAGCGATAAATGGGTTAGCTTTGTCCGACTGATCTAATGTTTGAGTGTGATGTAAAACAGGGAAGTCAAAGAGATCAATTTCAAATCTGAGAGCCAGGCACAAACACAGGTTTGTCATTTTTGTCTTATCAGATTATTATATTTATTGCAAGTGTTGAGAGTTACTTTTCTGGACATAAACTAGTCAGTGGGTCGACTGCTTCATCACTACTGTAAAGTAATTTCACTTTGTGCATATTAGCAGATATTGTTTGATACTTTTTAAATTATCATACTGTTTTTTTTAAATCCTACTGTGTATTCCAGATAACAGCACTTCAGACTGTTGTCTTTGCATCGGTTAACTGACTTTGTATGTTTACTGTGTTTGTCTGAAATGCACATGAGTCGTACCAGGTCGGTGAGCGGGGACATGTACATGCTGACGGTGACCACGCTGCAGGTGAGGCCCAGCTGGCTGAGCTGAGTGTCTCCCTTGGGGAGGAACACGCTGAAGTAGAACCAGCCACAGACGAGCACTATTCCTGCTGTAAGAGTCTGGGAAATCACCAACCTCTGAAACAAACACACAGGCAGGTGCTGAGAGACAGATGTGCAGGACTTTCACAGCTTAAATAAGTTGGATTCTCGTCAGCGGGGTGTTTGCTGCAGAGCAACACTGACCTTTTGGTTTGTGTATTTTATGTACATGATGATGTAAACGATCTGTAAGAGAGCTCCAATAACGTTGACCAGGACAATCGTCTGATCCAGCTTCAGAATCCCGTAATACAACCAACCTAGGTTACTATGGAAACAAGACAAGCATCACAGGTGCTGACCAGAGCACGACATAACTGCGGCACTGAACTGACGACAGTAGCCATGTTCAGACCTGGTATTAACATCCACCCTGAGAGATCAGATCACAACTGGACAGGTTTATGTGTAAACACCAGAAGTTAAAATGTGTCGTGGCTCCTGTGATCTCCAGCTCAAAATGCAAATAATCACGTACGTCACTTGTGTTTGCAAAAAACAAATGATGTTGTTTTAACCCAGTCTGAGTTTACAGATGGGACCAATGACAATGTTTGTGAGTGTTGTGTATTGAGGGAGAGAGACAGCAAGTAGAGTCAGGAGGGGCCGAATGGATGAATGCATGCAGCGATGTAGAAAAAAATCATTGTGTTGCGGTCATTTTTAATATTAAGGTGGTGGCAACAAACAAATCAACACTGAGAAACGTAAAAGTATGTTTGAAATGTAGCAGAGGCTTTTTCACGTGTCCAAGGACAGAGTTGCTTTCACACTGCAAAAAGAACGTGGCCACATTCGTCCCAGAGCCTCCTGATGTGACCGGATTGGATGTTATGACCACGTCTGAACAGGATCACAGGATGATTCATGGTTGTGCAAAAACACACTCACTTAAGACACGTGGTGAGGAAAGGGAGGAACTGGATGTTGTCAGTACTTTTGGATTCTCGCATCTTCTTTAGGTCGCTCCTGGAAACACACACAATCATAATGAGCTTGATTTATAAAGCACTTGTCTGAACAGAGAGAAAGAAAGAAAGAAAGAAAGAAAGAAAGAAAGCAACATATGTCACAGGTTTGGTTACCTGTGACATTAAAAAGAAAAAATAAATCTGTGCAACAGCAACACAACTTCGTCCAGCAGCCACCACTAACATCCACATTGCTGCTGTCATATTTTCCACCACCTCATTAAACGAACAAGAGTAAACCAGGATGCTTTCACGTCTCTGCTCATCAAGCATCAGGACAAACTTACAGTCCAGTCGAGAACATCCCGACCGTGAACACGATGCAGGCCCATGACAGAAGCTGCAGTAAATCCATAGGACGAGAGAGAAACGCACAACACTTCCTATCGTTCGTGCTTTTAGTCACGAAAGCCTAATTGTTCCTAATGAACTAACTCCGCTGGCGTTCTTCTTCTTCTTCTTCTTCTTCTTCTCGCGCTGTATTTCCGTGTTTGCAGTCAACGTGCTGCGGATCTCTGCCCTGTGATTGGCTCCCTGCTGAAACCAGGGGGTGGATTTGGTCCAATGGGATACTGCAACGGTAGCGTATGTTTTGTGCTACGTCATCACGTAGAGAGCGTTCGTAGGAGGATGCTGGAAAAAATAAAGAAATAAAAGGTTCCTGGATTTGAGCAGGGGATGAATCAGACTTTATTCTTTTTGCAGAATAAGTGGATAAATAAGCTTCACTTCACAAAAACTGAAGAAAATGATAAAAGCAGACAGAGAGTGATTTTTGTGCAAAATTAATTAAAAGTAAAATGTTCGTTGTAAGTTTTATTTGTCATAAGAAAGTTAACACAGGGTCAAGGTCCAGTGTGTAAGATTTAGGTGAAAGGGATTTTTTGCAGAAATTTAATATAAAATGTTCCTAGTGATGTTTTTAGTGCCTTGTACACAAACATAAGAATTTTAAAATCAGTCTTGTATTTAACAGACAACAATTGTAGAGAGGCATTCCCTCTTTTATGACCTAGTTGAAACTCTTGCTGTTGCAGGTTGAACCAGTTGGAGACCGGATGAAGAAGACTCAATTTATATTTACGCTGAACAAATTATATATTGACGAGCGGTCACAAGTAGAAAAAGCCGTAAAAGTTTGGACCTAAAGTTTACATAAATGCAGGTATTTACTGATTGCTTCAAAATTCAACATTTTACCGTTTAAAAGTACAATTTAAAGCATATGGAGGGTGCACCACTATAATTTGATTAATTTCATTCCATTTATATTAGATTTGAGCTGGTATGAGTCATTTCACTGATATTACATCCAAAATTAAAATGAAGGTTAATTTCTCATTGTAAAAATATAAAACTACGGCTGCCTTCCCATTCAGCAAAGTTCTGGTAAATTTAACACTTATTACCCAAAACATCTGCAGTGGATGAAGCCTCCAGCTCCCCCACACAATGTAAATCCTTTGCGAAATACCTTTTTTTAAAGTTTAATCTCTCAGAACATCTCTTGGATTTGACCTTTAACAATAATCTCTAATGTGTAATTTTTTCAACTATCCCCATTTTCCCTCAGTCCTTTTTTGTGTTTTCGTCTGTTTGACATTTAATTCTTTCCACAGTTTTCCCTGTATATTATACTGGATTGTTTTGTTATCACGTTATAATGTATTTCCTTTTTGTGAAGTAGATTTTTATGTGAAGTTCTTTAAGGTTATTTCTATCCATCTTGTTTTCTATATACAATAACATTCAATAACAAGTAATTGATCAACTTGCATTTGTTAGTTATCTTCAACAACACATGCAAGTTAAGGATTTTAGATCTTGAACATTTCTCTATGACATCGTGTCCAACAGTGCTGCAAACACTTCCATGTTTGGTCTCTTCCTTCAATAGAACGTTGTCCTGTAGTCATCTATTGTGCTACATTGCAACGAGATATCTAAGACCGTGTCATCATCTACAGGGAATTTAAACTATGGGGAAAAAATTACTGTTTTATGTTCTGGTTTTGAAACATACATGTTGCATAGTTTTACAGGACATGGTGACTTTTCACAGTTTTCAGTCAGCTCTGAGGTTTAAACCTTTGAGCCCTCTGCTCCTCTTCATTCCAACGTACGACTGTGTGGACGGATGTTCAGCTTTCCCTCAACAGAGGATGTAAGGGGCAGAAAAAAAGAGAGAGTACGCAAAGAGGCGAGAGTGACACCTTCGCACCCGGTTGTCAGTTTGCTTGCGGGCCTCTCTCCCCACACTATCCCGCGCTATCTCTCCTTCATCGTCCCCCTCTAGGTTCTCGTGTTTAGTTTTCAGACTGTGAAATCTAAGCCAGGGCAAGCTGTGTCACCAGGGATGAAAGATGTAGAGGGCAGTGGAGAGGGGCTGAGAAAATAGAGGCTGGGGAAGACCTGGGGGAGGAAATCTGAACGGGGCTTTCATCGGATAGGAGCCTTTCCCAAATTGTCATCAGTCAAAATCTCAATAGGCTCAGTTGGATTTCAAGATCCAAAGTTCATACAAAAATACATTTGAAAAAAAGTCAGAGATATATTTTTTATTACATCACAATTATTTTTATTTCACTAAAGATTTTTTTAACATCTTAAAACAGTTTCTTAAAGTTTTATCTATGTACAAATTTACATATAGACATTTACAAAATGACACAAAAAAACAACTGTAAAAGAAAAAAGGTCGGAAGTCCCTTCAGTTTGAGGTTTGACTTGAATGTGCATATGAATCACATCTGCAAACATTAGCCAGGGTACCATACCATGATACTGTTGAGACAGCAGAAACGAGTGAAGAACCATTGAGTACTGAAGAGGCTCAGCTCCCTGACAATCCTGCTATCGTTTAAGATTTGATCTGGTTTCTGGATCAGCGGCTCACATCCACTTAATGAAACCCTAATGAATTCTGATGCATTTTGTGTGAAATACATAAACCATTTACTTCATATTGAGTGCAATGTGTAAAATGTTGTCTGAGAACTTCTAGTTTGGACACAAGTCATCGATTTGTTTACTTGTGTAAAAAAATGTGCGTCAGACACTTTTTGTGCTAAACTGTGAAACCTGTTTGCTTACAGGGATACAACAGGGAGCTGAGTGCTACATGACAAAAAAACAAATACTACATAATGTACTGTATAACATTTCCAATACATGATCAATATTTTCTCTACATGAAGAGGAAAGAAATGACATTATTGGCAGTTTGAGACCAGTTATACAAGCACAGCTGTACCAACGGTGTGAAGATCTGAAAACACGATAATGACAATAATGTGTTCCTCTGGTTTTCAATCCAACTTTGATCCGCGTTATTCAAGTGTGTTGATCCATTTTGTCCATAATGACTGAAGATGATCTGAAATGGTCATTAATGAGAATTCCATCCTCGTAATAAAGTAAGAAAAAAAGAAACGTCTTTGAGGTCTTCTTCTTTGGAACGATCCACGTTCCACATGCACACAAACCAACACATCAAACACACTCTCACACACACACACACACTGAAAGCTTTGTCCATGCTTGTATAAAAAAAATCTGTATAAAAAAGAAATCTCTGAGTGTCCGTGGTCCCAATGACCTGCATTGGTGGTATAGTCTCTGTTATGCTCAGCTTAGTGTAGCATCAGGACTAATAAGACTGGGATCATGGTGAAGAGGAGCGAGAGGGAAACCAGCTGCGCGCTTGAACTGCCGACGCTCCTCTGGACGTTTGGCTCGATCACAGCAGGGTCATCTGAGGAGAGAAAAGGGAGGTGAGATTCAGTTTCAGAACTCACCCAGCTGAGCTCGTCTGAGACTCGGCCCTGCTGTGACTATTTTGCATCTGTCTGGTATTTTATATGAGAATCCTCACCTGCTGGGAGCCGGTTCGAGGGGTTGTGCACTCCTCCGGCGGCAGGAAACTTCACTTTTCCTCCATCTAAACTTTTCCCCACCTCCTCCACCTTGGATTTGTCGATGTGAGATTTCCCAGTGCCTTTGTTTCCGGCTACATCCACTCGCAGCCTCAGACAGTCTTGGCCGTGGTGATGCATTGGCTTGGCTGGAGAAGGTCAGAGAAAGGGAAATGTTTGAATACCAGAAACCACTGAAGCACAACAGGCAGATCAAATGCCAGTGGTACATGATTATTGATACTTACAGATATAATAGTAGCTCTCTCCCTGTCTGAACTCCTTGCCCAGGGTGAAGGGCGTGAAGCGCTGGAACTTCTCAGAGAATTTCTCAGGCGCGTGGGGAGCGAAGGGCCGTGAGCACTCCCAACGGAGCTGGTCAAAGGAGTGAGGTTTGCACACATCGTAGTCCTCCTTCTCCACCATGTACAGAACATAGCGCTCAGCTGCATGCGATGACACCTCACCGTGGGCGTAGTGCGGGCAGACAATGTCCAAATAGTCATTGATGCGCACTTCCACTGTGTACTCATCCCACAGGAAGCTGCAGGGAGACAGGAAGAGAGAGGTGGTTAGTGACAGATGTCCTCATTCAGCATGGAAACGTTTTTTAATTCACATAACACATGAATTACATGGGCAGATATCGTCTGTTTCTTTGCACACGTGTACAACACACGCCCGGGCTCATGGAGAATACAGGGAATAATAATGAGGGCTAATCACGAACTGACACGTGCAGCAACAGAAAACAGATTGACTCAGACAAACAAGGCATGTGTGCTTGTACAAACTCGCCACTGAGACAGAATTAGCAGGTCGGACTTGTTCACTTTTGTTTTTGGATAAGAGAACACACCCGGGATCTTCTACAGCCACTCCCACCATCCCACTCACAAATCATCTCTCTCTCCGAACAATTTAGCCTTTAGCAGAAGATCACTTCTCACCTGCTTACAGGCAGAAAACATTGAAAATGAAAGCAGCAACCCCCCGAGCCTAAACCACATCTCTTCACTTCTTCCAAACATCCACTTTTCTGTCTGTACAACTCAGTGACTCTTTCTGCCAAGTCTTTTAAAGCTGTCTCTTCTTTCTTGTTTCTTCTAGTTGTGACTGCAAAACTGTAATTTCTCTAATTTGCCGTCTCTATCTGCATCTCTGTCTCTCAATTTCTCACAGAGACGCAGTGGGTGGAGACAGCCAGACTGTCGCTCTCTTTCTCTCTTTTCATCTTTACCCTTCATTTAGTTTTATGGCTCTTTTTCAGCCTTCCTGTCTCCTCTTCTCTCACTTCCCACCCTTGTTGCCCCCCTGTGTCCCAATGAAGCAGAGATGGTGAAAAATAATGATAAATCAGGTACAGTCCTGCTGCATGGATGCACATTTGTGGTAATGTTGCACAGTGAGAACACAGAAGCTGGATTCAGGGGTTTTTCTCAAGTAGAACTTTTACTTACTGTTAATAAATAGCTACGACTGAGCAGGGAGAGGATTTGTTTAAAGCAATGAATGAACTCTAACCCTCTAAAATTCTATTCTCACCATACAACTATGTTTCGTAGGCACGATGCAGGTGAGGCTGTCATCATGTGATGCACGGCTGGCTG